GTGTCTCTATGTATTGTAAAATGTGTGTGAACTTGTAGAGTTTGTCGTTCTTTACTGAATTGCCTTGAATAATAGAGTCCATGTCATTAGCTATGACCACTGTGCTTTCACTGTTATTCATCTCTTTGACTAAAATACCATTTTTGGGTAAAAGTCACATGCTCAGAATGTGTCTAAACACTGAGTGATGTTACTTAAGTATTAATTTGTCTGAAGCTGTTGTTTTTCTGTGCCCTGTTGTCTAGGTTTGATATTTCAATTGATATAACTTTGACTGCTTTTTGTTCATAATCATTTCCTTTCCTTTGTTGTTTTACAGACAGTTTAAAGAGCAGTGAATAAAGCTTTGTGAGAAATAAACTCATTGATTTTTCTTTCTGTCCTCCCACTTACAAATTGTAGTAGTGAGGTGTGTTTTGTTCATTTAACTGAAATAATTAACTGTATTTAACTTTAAATAATTAAGGTTTGAAAGGAGGAAGAATTAAAGAAAAAATACTTCTAGACCCTTTTTGCTGTTTCATTGCTAAAGATATTGTTTTATCAGCACATCAAGTGGTAGATCAGAAATTGCTCTCATCACAGCATGTTGGACAGCCACTCTAGCCTTTATCAGCTTTACTGCCTCATACAATTTTATGCCCAGTATCAAGTGTCCACCATCATTGGTTGTCATGATGGATTCTAGGGTTGCCTAATAGGGTAGTTTCCCCTATCTTTCCACATTCCCATGGCTTTCCACATTCCCATGGCTTTCCACATTCCTATGGCTTTGCTAACAGTAAAGGGCACCTAAAAGTTTCCATTTGCCACGGTGGATGCTTAGTTTACAAATGCTGAATGATTATGGATACAACATACACACAGCTAGTAGGGCTTTCTCTGCTGTCTTTTTTTTCGCACAAGTAGGATGTTAAATGTTTCAAAACATCATCATTTCCTCAAAGAAAATGGAAACTGTTGGGCACTTTTGAGAAGAAAATCTAAGATTTACACTGAAAGTAGAATAGGATATAATTGAAGATGAAGTGTTTTTCAGGGGAATGTAACAGAAGAATCAACACATGCTTTAATGGGGCTGCTACCTCAGGTTCTAGCAAAATTATGTGTTTAAATGATAGTGTTCGTAACATAAAAATCTAGCAATGTTCTACATGTAAGATCCTGGCAAGATTTTGAATGCTTTCTTGAGGTAATAACATGCTAATCTCACAGCTTTCATGGTGCTTGTAAAATCTAGTGTTGTTCAAGGTGTTATCTTGAGCTTAAAGCATATACCAATCTGGCAACATTCCGGTTTCTTTTATGGTGGCTTGTGACATAGAAGAATTGCATAACATACAAGGTTCTAAAACCTTTTTGCCATGAGACATTGATCATCTGTTGTCACTATCGATTACCATCCATAACAACTGCTAAACCGGCATTGCTGCATTAGTCTGACCCCCACAAGCTTAATTAAAGATTGTGGTTCTGTTTGTGCCTGTTCAGTATTTAGGACCATTGGATCTTGAATATATTTACTAAAAATAGTATTTAAGGGGATTTAATTGTTTAGAAGCTTTTTAAAAGCTATTATGATGTCATTATTTGCTTTCAGTCTTAGCAACTGCATAGAAATGGGGTCACTGTATAGTCACCTTATAAATTTTTTGTTAAGCCCAGAAGAATGTAATCTGTTTAATTAATGCCCATCCATATTCAATGATTACTTACTTTTCTTCCCTTTGTTTATTTCTATTAAAAAAAAAATTTTAAAATTATATACATTTTCATAAAAAAATTGTAAGTGCCTTGTATAAAATATTGTTCAAAGATTAACTGGTTTCTTTTCCCACAATGGGTTCATGTCATAGCACCTGTATAATAAAAATCTGACAGTGTTCTAGTTGCTTTCATGGGTGTCTGTCCACAAAAATCTGTCAATATTTTTATGTTGACAACATCGTCTTCTGTGTTCGCCAACTGTTAACTCTGGCACAGAGTCCCGGTTTTTGGTCCATGACTGGACTTTAGTCTTGTCTCAAGGACTTTGGTGTTGTGTGCACACCCGATTCACAGATCCAACTTATTTTCCTTTATGTTATCTACATTGGCCAGGTCAGGCTCCCCATAAGGAACCTGTTTCTAGGATGGCCACAGAGAAATGTAGATAAGTCATGACCAGTTTTAGACCTAGTCCTGGTGCTTTTCATAGCATATAAGGATTTGACAATCTTCTTCTTCAGCATTCCGAGCCCTTGAGGTTCATTGCTGCAGATAATACCTGCCTCCACTCATCTCTCTGGTTGGCCTTCTCTTTCCATTTGGTGACACTAAGTGTTTTCAGGTGTGTGACATTATCTCTCCATCATCTTCTTGGTCTGCCTCGTGGTCTATGACCATTCATGTCCCTTGGGTATACAGTTTTCACTTCTCTGTCATCTGACATTCTCTCAATATGCCCCAACTATTTCAGTCTATTAGCTCTCATGATGCCAATGATCAATGGTGATTTAAACATTGTGAATTTTGTTGTTGCTTCTCTCTCTCCATTACCCTCTGTTTGCATCTTTGATGGGTCCAAAGATTCATCGTAAGACTGTTTTCGAAAACCTCTAATAAGGTTTCATCTCTTTTAGTTGTGCTCCTAGTTTCAAAGCTATATAAAACGACTGGTCTTGTCAACGTTTGATATATTTTGATCTTAGTGTTGCAAGACTGGCACTTTGACTTTAGCAGATGTTGAAGTGCATAGGATACTTAATTTCCAGATTGTATTTCTTCTCGCAGCATGTTGAAGTTTGCACACAAGTACCTTTATTTTTCTGTTCGTTTGATTTTCATATTATCGCCTTGTATGTGGCTGAAATTATATCCTTTCCCTGTCTAGTTATTATCATGTATTCTTTCTTATTTTCCATTTTCTGAGCTGATTCTTTTAAGAAAGTAAGGATTTGACAATATCAGCTTGAAATAATGCAGATATAAACAATTCATTTGCACAGTTTATTGCGGGCATATTTTGTCACGTACGTTACTGTAGTTATATTAATATATGAAGCATAAAAATGAATAAACTCAGCCAAAATACAAAATGGTCTCTTGCGACCCATTGTTGTAAAATTGCAGGAAGTTCACGATAGTCACGTGATTTACTAGGATAACTTTAAATCGAAATTAACTGCATAAGAAAGGATTGTACATTTTTATATATAAAGCTTCAGCCAATCTCAGAATTGGCCTGATGATTTGAGGTTAAGAAAGAACTGGCTGTAAGGGAAGCACTGTTCTTATTTTTATTTGTGGCTTGATGAGGCACTTGATCTCTCACATTTAGCATATTTGAGAAATGTAGTTTTGACAAATTTTTTTATTAGCAGTATGTGCTTTCGTTGTTATCTTCTGTCTTTGTTGTCTTTTACACTCTCTGTGTAACAGTTATTGTTAGTTTGTTGTGTTAAGTGTGCCACCTGATGGTTTCCTTTCGTCGGTTGTAGTTTTTGATTCTCGAACACTTTTTCAGATCCCGATCATTAGTAGTACCTATGAAGTTTCCTCTTGTATGTGAATGTTACTGGCATTTGTCACCTCATTAGATGAACATTTAGTTCGTTAAGTGTATGCTGCAGTTTATGCTAATACCTTAAGGATCTTTTTTTTTCCCAACCTTAGGCATATTGGGTATATAGTGCTAAACTTTTATTTTATAGACCAATCGACACTCAGTGGTTAACGTTAAAGTCCAGGACCTTGCCTAGTACTTCTTCTTCTTCTTTCGTTCGCAAGAAATAAATTGTCTATATCTGCAAAGCTGTCTCTAGTATGAATTTCACTTTCTTTTGTAATTCACTAAGCGGCCCGTAAAGTTTGACTTCCACAAGTGTCTCTTTTGGCCAAATGTTTTGCCTGAAAGCGCTGAATCTGGGACAGTCTTGAAGGACGTGATCTGTTGTTTCAGGTGCCAGTCCACAAGTACACATGGCTGATTGGCCAATCTTAAATTTGTTGTACATGTGGGAGCGAAGTCGATTGTGCCCTGTTCTAGTACTTATTTTAGTCAACCCAGAAACCAAGATCAGTATTAGAGAAATCTGACTCGATGCGGATTTGAACCCATGACCTTTAAGCTGCATACTTGCATCTAGGTGCAACGCTGTTTTTTGCTGATTGTGAAATGGTTTGTTTTTGTTGCGCACATTTTACTGATATTAAAATAAATGAATATGTCTTCTGACATATCTAATTTTATAAATTAGTTGTACTCATTTAAACTGCTAATGTAAGGAAGTAAGCCATGGACAAAATGTAATCATAGTATTAATTTTTCTTGAAATATTTTAATGAATATTCAAGACTGGTAAACATTATTATTCGACATTATTTTTCTCCATGTGGAGTCCGGGGCCTGGAGGGGTGGGGAGGATGGTAATCTACTTCTTCTTCGCGTTCACCAGCTGTACACTCTGGCGTAAAGTTCTGGTTGTTCGTCCAATTCTGGACTGCAGTCCTGCTCCAGAACCTGAGTGTTGCATGTGCATCAGTTTTACAGATCTGATTCAATTGAATGTAGACTGCTGGTTCCTCGCCTCTCAGGCAGATGCACTCCGACTTCAAAGGAAGCTTCCCAGTTAGTCGACTCTTACGACATGCTTTTGGGGAGGCAGTGGGCCTATTCTTGTTTTCCCCACAATAGGGCCCCGGAACCCACACGGGGAAGGATGGTAATAAACCATTGCTTCCCCATCAAGCATTTCATAAGAGGTGACTAGCTGGAGTTTTGCTGAAAAAGATCTGTTGGGCCAAATGTGCAGATATCGCTCCCTAGCTGTAAACCACAACACACTTTGCAACCTTATGAAGGTGACGAAGAAGAAGAAATGTTATTTCTAATTGCTAAGCGTTTTTGATTCCTTTAAAGTTAACAATGGTTTGTTAATCATACTGCTGTATCTCTTCTTAATTGACTGCCTACGATTCACAGTTACATTTTGAGTGATGTTATGTTAACTGTATTGTAGGTAATGAAGCCGACAACATCTGCTGATGATCGCAAGAAGAAGAAAAAACCTGTATCTGCTGCAAGAGAGCCCAAACGTAAACAGCCAAGAAGCAGCAAAAAAGCACTGCCCAGTAGCTCTACAACAGAGCAACACAATAAGCTCTCTGATGATTTGTCGTCACCTCGTGCTTGTCAGGACTCAGGCCAAGACAAAACAGTCTCTTCTTCCAACAAAATCGGAGGTAGACCTTCTTCTCCTTCTCCTCCTCCTTCTTCTGCTCTCCTCTTCCTCCTCCTTCTCTTCTTCTTCTTCCTCCTCCACTTCTTAATCTTCCTCCTTCTCCTCCACCTTTTCTTCCTCCTCCTCTTCCACCTCTTCTTTATCTTCCTCCTCATCCTTCACCTCTTCTACCTCCTCCTCCACTTCTTCTTTTTCTTCATCTTTCTCCTCCTCCTCTTCTTCCTCCTCCTCTTCTTCTTCATCTTCCTCCTCCTCCTTCACCTCTTCTTCCTCCTCCTCCTCCACTTCTTCTTCTTTGTCTTCCTCCTCCACCTCTTCTTCTCATCATTTTTCTTCTCCACCTCCACTTCTTCTTCTGCGTTTGCCTTTAAAAGGACATTTGGCACTTGTGGTTTATAGCTAGACTGCAGTATCGGTATCCCGTTGGATCTGTTGAAGAGATTTTTGATGCATGCAGGGAATTCTGTTCAAATAATGAAGCTGAAATAATTGCACTGGAAACAGCAGTATACCACCTAAAGACTGTAATGGATGTTTACCCTCCAGACAGCACAAAACACTTATAAGAGCTATAAACAAAGAGACTTGGTTGAACAGATAGGCCATGGGAGACACTGGAAGAGAGTTTATAGACATATGGCTGGCCCTGATCCTAATGACAGCATTAAGCATCTAACAAGAAGGGACCAGGCCACCATCTTCAGACTAAGAACGCAACATACTCCACTCAATGGACATCTAAACAGAATACAGCCACAACATTCCCCAGAGTGCCAGCTATGTAACTACCCCTACGAAACTGTTTAACACCATCTCTTTGAGTGCCCAAAACTCAGCAAGACAAGAAGAACTCTACTCCCTCCGAGACCAGACAAGTGGAACACCTTGTACGGAGGAAAAGAACAGCTTGTGAAAACATGCAAATTCCACTACATGGCATTGGGCCAAAGGGCGAAAGCTCATGCGCCGCTGGATCGATAACAACAACAACAACTGCAGTATCTGCACCATACGACCCAACACGTCGGCTTTCAGCAAACTCCTAATTAGCCAGCCTTTACAGCATGCCCATGAAGTGGGTAATGAGTCTATTATTTTTGTCTTTAAAAAAAATGTAAATGTGGCCCTGGAACCACATTGGGAGGAGAAAAACCAAAGCAAGCAGTTGCATTCCGTATAGAGTGTCTGTGTACTTTCAATTTGCAAATAATGCAGTACAAATGGGAGTCACCATGGTGTAGTGGCTAGACGCTCGCCTGCAGATCGGAAGGTCCTGGGTTCAGGTCATGACGGAACCGAATTTCCTAAATAATCTTTTTGGCTCCTAGGTCGACCGACCTTGAGTGGGTACCATTTGCCTTCCTGGGAAGTAAAGGCGACCGTCATGATGTTGACTACATCACCGACCAAGTGCCGATTGGTCTAGTCCTATATGCTAAATACAGCTGAAGGCAATGAAAAGGGTCTTACTTTTTTCGTTTAATTTTAAGTTTTTGTACCCTTTTCACATCATAGATGCAACTGGTATATGGTGCTTTACCAATATTTTTGAAGGCCAGTCAGCACTTGATGGGTGATATGGTCAGCACCACACTGGCCACTTTTACTTCCTACAGCACTTTTTGATACCAGTTTAACTCTGTCGGTCCAAGAGGAGGGTTAATTTAGTTCTAAATAAACCTAGGACAAGTTCTTTGTTATCAAAAGAGTTAAGGCTGAGGTCCGCCTGAGAGTCAAGGTCAGTAATTACAAATCCATCTTAATTTAGATGCTTCTTCTTCTTAGCATTCACAGGCTGTAAACTCTTGTGGAAAGTTCTGGTTGGTCTTCTGGACATAAGTCGTGTTGCAAAACTTGAGTTTGGCATGCATATCTGTTTTACAGATCTAGCTTATTTGTAGTCAGACTGTTGGTTCCTTGCCTCTCAGAAATGCACTCTGACTTCATAGGAAGCACCCCTGATTAGTAGACTCTCAAGACATGCTGAGGGAGGGGGTGGGAATTCAAGTGCAAGACTTTTAGACCAGTATGCAAGTGTCTATCCTCTTGTGTTACTACGACTCCTAGTGGCTATTCATACACGGGCATTTACTCTCCTCCTCCTATACTTTGTTCACCGGCTGTAAGCTCCAGTGGAAGTCCTGGTAGTTTGTCCATCTGCACTTTGGCTTTGTGCTAGGGCCTGAGTTTTGCGTGTACATCCGTTTTACTGGCTTATTTGTGTGCAGTTGGTTGTTCCTTGCCACTCGGGTAGATGCACTCCGACTTTGAAGGAAGGAAGTTGTTCTAGAATGCAGAAAGAAAATAGAAACACACAGATACATACTTTTCTTTAAAAAATATAATCATATGGCAGATTTTGCCATTGGGGTGTGAAGTGTTAGCTTTATATAAGTACTAAATACAACATAGAAGGAACTGGAAAGCTCAACAGAGGGGATGGAAAAGATGCGCAGAAATAAACTTGTTTCAACCCAAGTCTTTATAGACTATAGACTGTGTACCAAATACAACACAAACTGTGACAAAAAACTCAATGGACAAGACAACAGAGCTTGTAAACAACCAGCGTTATAAGCCATAGCAAGTGAAGCGATGTGAAGTGACCATCATCGCCTTAATTCAGGGGTCAGTTTCTGGGCAATTATAAAATTAGTGCTCATGCAACATGTTTGAGGTTCAAAGACTATTTACCTAAGTTTTGTGTCTGTAATATAGAGAAGGCTATCATGGTCTGTAGTTTTATCAGAGTTTGTTGTCTGCAATAGAGAGAAGGATATCAGGATCTCATATTATCAGACTTTTTCTGTAATACAGAGAAGGATGTCATGATCTAGTTTTATCAGAGTTTGTTATCTGTAATACACAGAAAGGTGTTGTGGTCTCTTGTTTTACCAATTTTGTTGTCTATAATACAAAGAAATATGTCATGATCTCCTTTAATCAGTTTGTTATCTGTAATACTAAAGAGGATATAAGATTCCCTCATTTTACTCAGTTTGTTACCTGTAATAGAGTTTATATCAGATTGTTATCTGTAATACAGAGAAGGATGTGAATCCAGCACCAGAGGAAGCCTGGGCGAGACCTTTGTCCAAGCAGTGGCGACATTTTCCTTGTGATTTTGATGCAGTCAAACGCTACAACAACTTTATGTCCAGAAGGCAGCCTCACTGCTCAGTTTGCTCCCTGTTCCAAAGATTTGATGTAAGTTGTAACTGTTTATATTCTAACTGTATGGGCTTAAGATGTCAGCACATTGAGGTTGAATGGATGAAGGGTCATAAACATTAATTAAAAGATAATCACTTTCAATTTTTGAATGTAGCTGATATTGTATCAAAGATATTTTGATGATATAACAAGGCTTAAAGCTTAGAGGTCACTGTTGATAGTCAACACTGCAGATTTGTAGTGCAGCTGACATTGTATCTGAGATGTTTTGATGATATGACAAGACAGAGGTTAAAACTTAAAGGTCAGTGTTGATAGTCAACACTGCAGATTTTTAGTGGAGCTAAGATGGGTTGATGTTAGAAATTGAAAGTCAGAGGTGACTGACTGTTGGTTACTCAGCAGATTAAATAAATAAGGGTGGTACTGAGGTTATTTGAATTTGTTATTAGAGTGAGTATCTGGTGTATTTGGAAAATATTTCTTGTAGTGCTGCTAACTGTTAAGGCATTACAGGTTGTGTAGATTAATCAGTATAGGCATATGTAAAGTTATGTATGATGAGACATGTAAAATGGTGTTTAATGCCTGTGGCAATCAGCTGGACAAAGGTCAATTTATCAAAATGTTAGTTTAAGATAGCAATTTAAATTAACTTAGAGGTTTTCTGACTTTATTTTCGCGTTACACGTTTGACCGAGAAAATACCTGAAAAGTCATAAATTCAGCTGCCAGTTCAAATATGGATCTTGTTAAAAACATACGACTGACTTCAAACTTGTTCTGTGTTTGCCCTTAAAAGGGTGGTTTGTACGTTATGTTGTTGTTTACAGCTAAACTGATTTTTTTTTTAAATCGCTCACCGGCTGTGAATTTCGGCAGAAGGTCCAGGTTAATCGTCCGCTTGTACTTTTGGCTTTCACCTGGACCTGATTTTTGCGTGTACAACCGTTTCACTGTTCCCTGCCTCATGGGCAGCTGTACTCCGGCTTCGAAGGAAGACGTCAGGCCTATTTCTAGGATGACTGTGGCCATTGTTTTGTGTGGTGTCCACTTTGTCTCCTTCTCCGCAGGTATTGCCCCCGGAGTACCCCTTTGGGGCAGCCCCCTGTGGAACGGTTAGCCCTCAAGGGAAGGCAGGGGCAGATCATGGGCATTCCACGCCATCCAAGGAGGCTTCCATGTATGCAGAGCCGGCACATGGCGCTCTGGTTCTGGGCTTACCCAAGGAATCGTCACGTCCTGCACATGCCTGCTTAACCTCACAACCGTATTAGGCTTCCCGCACGACAAGTGCTGCGCCCTCTGGAAGTCAGCGGGGAGCAGCCTGTGGGTTTTGGACTTTTGTGACCACACGAATAGGTACATTCTTTTTTCTTCGCACGTTAGATTTGTTTGATGAGCCGTTAGCCCTACAGAATTTTACATCCTGCGTCAGGCATATCGTTATCAGTTTGGTCCCAACACTCGGGCGAGTGGGGTCTTTGGGTGTGGACATTTGGTCTTTTTCCGTTCAATACAAATTGTGATGGTCAGATTTTGAGCTGCTCGTGTGCCGTAGGATCTAGTTTTGTCGGACATTTAGGCTCAGCCAGCCAATGGGCTGTTGCTGTTGTGGTGTACCTCAGCGCGGTGACGACGACACAGAGGGTTAACCGAGGATGTACATGGATGGTTGCTGTTGTGGTGTACCTCAGCGCGGTGACGACGACACTGAGGGTTAACCGAGGATGTACATGGATGGCCAGCCTATGGATGGTTGCTGTTGTGGTGTACCTCAGCGCGGTGACGACGACACTGAGGGTTAACAGAGGATGTGAGCAATGTTCTCTTCACTCCGCAATCTTTTAACCAAGGGTTGTGATTTTAGCTGTACGTTTGGCGAGCATACTCATGTTCCTAATGAGTTTTGATAACCTTTTTCACCCAAGCGTTTGGGGGCGGGCTGATGAGAGCCACATGGACACATCACCTCTGGGGGCCGCTAAAACTCCGAGATCCCCTGACAGCTCTGTTAATGCTCATTTGAGACATTATCCATGGCGCACGACGAGGACGTGCTGCAGGGGTCTTGCGTGAGGTTCCGTAAAACCAGAACAGTGAAGGACTGGCGCCAGAGTGACGTACGGAGTATCTCCTTATACACATCATGTTGGACTTAACTTTTCCCTCACACCTGTGACATAAATCACCGCGCCACACTAGACTGTGATATTTCTGCCTTTCGGCCCATCGCATCCATTTTCAGCAGACTTTGAATTAGTCACCTTTTATGTCCTGCTGATTAAGGGCTGCAGCAACTCTATTTTTTTAAAGCCCAAAATGGGAACCTTTGGGACTCACACTGAAAACTTACTTTGTCACATATCACTCCTGTCACGTGCCTGATGTAAGGATTTCTCCTTCAGAACCAACAGCACTCAGAAATAATTATGTTGAGACGTTCGGCTCGTATTGGTCTAAGGGATTCCCCGTGGCCAATATACGCTCAACTTATTTCTGGAGTAGGGCAACTCAAGTATTGGCACTACAAAATATATCTGTATATGAATACAATATTCCTAGGCACACTTGGCTGGACACCCCCACTTCTTATTAAAGAAAGCCCCCAGGTTATGATAATTCATTATCATAACCATGTTAACACATATATTTAAGATTCATACACACACAACTGCTAGACACTTAAAAAGGTGAAATAGAGACACCTAAGTCAGCCATGAAAATGAATGCATGTAATCAGTACAATATATACATATATAAAATAGAGAAGCAGATGCCAGATTTCTATAGCTGGATTCCAGGATACAATGTCCAGATCACCAAAATTACACAGACAGAAGGTCCTGGAGATGACACATTGTCATCATTGGGAAACATGGGAGCTGTGAGGAATATAGCAATACATGGCATCAACTGTCACTTATCCTCTTTCTGTCGGTGATGCTTCCCTCAGCTCCTGATGATTCGACTGTCTTTGGTGACTCTGCCTCACTGGATCAGATGGTAGAGAAGTGCCTCACCATAAAGGACGCAGCAACTGGATAGGCACACAGCAACTGGATAGGCACACAGCACCTTTTCCCACGAGTAATTCACAGCACTGTCCCTGAGCTACACACATGCTCTGGCACTGGATGATGTTTGGGTTATATTGTATCCCATCTTGAGGAGGACAGTCTTCTCAATTGGTAGTTGGGTGATAATAAGTAGGTAATGGGTTAATTGATTGATGGGTTATGGTTTATATTTGGTGGTTGTTGGTTGGACTGTGATTCTTCTGCCCGCTCTTCACAAAGGTTTCATCCTGCCAAGAAATAACTCAGAATTAGTCATCACCAAGAGGGTAACATCTTGACAGGAAAGACAGAATAAGTATCAGTCACCAGCCCATATCAGCCTACTCCACCTCTGCTCCCCTGTTTCATTCCTCAGAGTGCACTCTCAGGACTAGGAGACACTGTCTCCTATCATTCATCTGTCTGTTTAGTGCAAGAGATGGAAAGTCAGATATATGGTGGAGATAGATAGACACTCTAACACATACATCATCTCCCCCCCCCCTTCCCATCTGCACACAGACACCAATATTTACCGTCAGTACTTCTATTCCCTACGACTCACAAGCCAACCCAACACATTAATTGATCTGAGTCAAACACATTCCCACACTGGCTGACCAAGTCCTGACTTAAATTCTGTCCCCATTCGTATGCACAAACTTCTGTTGTTAGTTTAAATAGTACACACTTGTAAGGTTATTAGTTTTACCAGTATGTGTGGGTTATTCAGGGCATAGGCTATTTAGTCTGTACAGAGGAAGGTCTAAGTTCGAATCCGCTTCTCTAGCGATCAAGAACGGTCGAACTATGTGTGATCCCACAGCCGATACTGATCTCTCTACAGCAGTGACCACTTTAACAGACATTGTTTTAGGTACTCGTAAACTATAATTAACTTACGCAAGCATATGAAAAGTCCTAGACATTACAGATCGCCTTTTAAAAATGAATTATACAGGCGTCGATTTACACGTCTGAACGCTTGGAAGCCGGCAAAAAGAATGGCGCAAAATTCCTTCTTTAGGCGTTGATAAGAAGTAGTTCCTAGTATACAGGGGAAAGGAGTAAATCGGTTTCCACGAAACCTCAAATAACTCCTCTAATATTTATCCAATAGATGTACATTTAAAAGTTGTGTTAAGTCAAAGCAACTAGAAGATGTAGACATTATAATTTTGTCCGATAAAGGCATATATCGATATAAGGGACTATATACCTTCCCGGACGAGTCCAAGTTTGAATGATGCGCCGATTACAGGTAAGGCAAGTTACCAGTCTTTCGGACTGATGTGTAATGGCTTATCATTCCACGACAGTACCCCCCCCCCCCCCCCCCCCCCCCAAAGGGAAGAGCGTACTACGGGAATGAACAATGATCAGCCATCTACACATCTATGGACTCACTACTTTCAGCTTGCTCATCACCTTCAGTCTGTGAATTATCAGACAAGGGATGGCGGCTCAAGAAATCTGCTCTGAATCAAAGGGTTGACCAAACCAACCTCTCAGAGACAGATGAAATATATACAATAATGACAATTCATGTGAAAATAGAGAAACCTATGACCACTATACAACACTAATCAACAAGGAATCTATACAGAATCAGTAGATGTCCCTGAGGACTCAAGACTCTGATGATTCTATCCATGTATTACTGATCCCTGCCAGTTACATGCAAAGATATAGGTTCAGACCGAACCCCCCGATCGGGTTGGCTGAATAAACCCACACACCATCCTGGTACTCCTGTCATATTCAGGTAATATACCGGTGTGTCTCCTACATCAGTAGTCACACAGGAAGGTCGTCGAGGCATGTGGGATATAATCCCTCCCGTCTGATCCTTCACGAGGTTCGGAAGGATAATCCTCCCCTCGTCACTATGTGCTCCAAAAAACACAGGGAGGAACCCTGGTGTGAATTGAAAATTCTTCACCTTCTGGTCCTCCTGATGGTCTGGAGGTTTAC